TTAGGCCAGTGATGGCGAACCTATGACACGCGTGTCAGAGGTGACACGTGAACTCATTTTTTTGGTTGATTTTTCTTTGTTAAATGGCATTTAAATATATAAAATAAATATCAAAAATATAAGTCTTTGTTTTACTATGGTTGAAAATATCAAAAGATTTCTATATGTGACACGGCACCAGAGTTAAGTTAGGGTTTTTCAAAATGCTGACACGCTGAGCTCAAAAGGTTCGCCATCACTGGAGCCAATACTTTGCAAAAACATCTTACTATTTCTCATTAAAGGAAAAATAATCATGGTCAGGGCCCAAACAGACTCCCTCTGAGTATTGTAATTGCTCAATTATTCTTTTAAGTAGCTATGGTGTATCTGTGTGACATAAGACACAATCTCCCCGTGTCCCACACTTCTCGTAAGAATGGTAATTCTCGTTAGGATTCACAGGTGGGGGAGAGGGCGGGGTTCTGGATGTCATTGTGTATGCTTCCCATGCATATCTTTTCTTTCCATTCAGGCAGGCGGTCAGGGCCAGCTTTAACAACACCGAGAGGGGCGCCCTCCTGACCACCCATTACATGGCCGAGGCAGAGGCCGTGTGTGACCGTGTGGCCATCATGGTGTCCGGGAGGCTGAGGTGGGTGTCCGCCCAAGCCCACACTTGACCACCATGTGCATGGCTGGCAGAGTTTGTCGGTGGGCAGAGAGGTCACTGTGAAAAACTGGGACCACCTGACCAGGGTCTGATGGCCAAGTCCTGAGACAGCGCTAGCAGCAAATCCCAAGTCTTAAACATTGCATCTTCCTCTTCTCCCTCCTCCTCTTCCCTCCAGATGTATCGGTTCCATCCAGCACCTGAAGAGCAAATTTGGCAAGGATTACCTGCTGGAGATGAAGGTGAAGACCCTCGCCCACGTGGAGCCCCTGCACAGCGAAATCCTGAGGCTTTTCCCCCAGGCTGCTCGGCAGGAAAGGTAAGGATGGTGGCTGGCTTTCATCTTCTATCAGATGTCAGTTTTTCCTTGTCAGGTTCATAGAGCTGTGGTCA